CAAGGTTACATGGTTGAATCTGAAACAAATTAAAATAATGATGATGCCCACTTCTGTTCTTGTTCCTTGCTTTGCATGGTTTGTTCTCTTATGGATTTTAAGGGAGTGAAGCAGCCTTTAATTGGAAGAGGGAGGCTGAGATAATCAGTCCGAGCAAGTCCTTATTGCTCCTGGTGACTGGAATGTGCCCTTTGATGTTCTTAAGAAACACCTGCTCACCTGGGCATGACAGCACCTGAGCCCACTTTATTTCCCATGGTGTCCCGATTAATAATGATCTAATGCATTACTAACTAAAAGAAAAAGCCTGGTAAAATGTTTTCTTGTGTGCAATCCTTGGACTTAAATACACTTCCCTTTGAATTCCACTCGTGTTTCTGGTTTGTGTCTCGCTGTTGACCCAGGAGAAGTGGATTGGGGTCCCTTTGTCAATGTCATAAAGGATTTTGATTACTTGACTCAAATCTCTTATTCTTTTCTTTTCAAGACTAACATGATTCAATCCTTTTAGCATTTTAGAGTAGAACATTGCTTCATACACAGGGAGGTGTATGATACTCTTCTCTGGACTGATTTCAGAGCAACAGTATAATTTTCTATTGTTGCAATCAACACTGAAAACCACAATGTTTTAAATGAGTCCTTTAAAAACAAAAAAACAATGGTTTAATAAGCATTTCGGAGCAATTTATTCTTGGTTTTGGTAAATCATTAAATAATCCTTTTCAATGACATCAGTATTTTTGTGCAAATACTGTCATTTGTACCTAATACCTTGGTATGAGAGTTTGCTGGTTTATCTGATCATTGTGCTGTGCTTAGAAGGTGTGCTTTTAAAGGCAGCATTTGTTTTCATCTTTAGCCTTATCTAACAAGAACGAAAGCATCAGATTGAACCAGGAAAAGAAAATTAAGGAATTTTGATCACAGTTACCAGTATGTTATTATTAGTTTATGTGTCTGGCAACCCATACTTGTTTCTTTCAATACAGCTTGACATTTTAATTAAACAATCTCAGTGAAATATCTCGCTCAAGGGTACTGTAGATCAGCAGTGGCCCACCTGGGATTTGGGCTGAAACCTTTCCAGTTACTAGGACAGACCTCCAACCATTACTTCTCCTTGTTGCCTGTCATATCAGCAAATATATTATAGTGCTGTTATAAATATAACATTGTAATCTCACTTACTGATGAAGCCATGCTGACACAGTGGTTAGCATTGATGTATTGCAGTGCTGGGGCCCTGGGTTCAATTCCAGTGATGCTGTTTGTGTGAATGTTGTATGTTGTCTTCCTCATGTTTGTATGGGTTTGTACCAGGTGATCTGGTTTCCACCCACAGTCCAAAGATACACTATGCTGGTAGGTTAATAAGCTTCTATAAAAGTGTGTGTGTGCATGTTTGTGTCTGTGTGTGCCCTGTGATGGACTGGCTCCCAGGCTCTGTCTCCCCACCAACTTGGATAGGCAGATTAGAAAATGGAGGAAAGTATGAAAATTTAACCAACAGTTGAAAACCTTTTCTGTAGGCATTTCTATTTATTTCCTGAAATTTATAAACCTGACAATACAGGCCGCCTTGTCATATCACCTTGTTCCTGCCCAATTGAATTAATTTCAAGATGATGAATACTTTACAATGTACAGTATTGTTAAACAAACTAGCTTTCTGCAAATATTGGTCCATTTTAAAGAGCCTAATGTGAAAACACCATTCTCTGTACAACACACATTGCAATACTATTCTCTAGTATAATACTGTCACCAAATGATATAAATGCACCAAAACAGTTTATTGTTGAGTGCAAAGTAGAAGATCCCTAAGGAGACACCATTTTGAACATTGAATTGCTGTTCATTTAATGTAAATGTTTGTACTCAAGTAAGAGGTGTCAACATGTTTATATTTTAATTGACTAAAATTGATTAAAATGTGACTGCAAATGAAAGCAACTGATAAGAAGCTGTACTGTGGCGGTCTTTCTATAAACTTCTGTTTGTCATTCAATCTGTAGTAAATTCCACAGCTTTGGAATTTTAGAAACAGAATTTAAGGTATACAGTATCATTCTTAGACATTTACATCACAGCTTTATGGTACACTCTTAATACCACCATGAACTCTAAAGCCGATAAGACTCATAATTACTTCCAATACAACTCAGCTCCTTATTCTCAGACTTGGCTATATTGCAATGATGAACAAGATTTTCTAAACAAAAGCTACATGTTTTCTCAGAAAATATTTTTTGATAGGTAAATCCAAAATATCAAACATATACAGAGAATGCTTTAACCAAAAGAAAAAAACCCTCAGATAACAGACTTCATCCATAAAGTTGTACAGAAGAACTTTCACATTCTGCAGTAAGGCTCATCTACTGAACCAACTTTTAAAATACCACCCCTAATTTCACAGAGTAGGAACAACTAACCTAAAATAATATTTGGTGTGCAATTAGATTTTTCCTTTTATCAACCATTTAAAAGACACCTTTAAATACAAATTAATGCCACAACATTCCCAGCTGATTAATACTTCAATAGCATTAATCAAACTACTGAATCCACCAGACCTACTGTACGACCCCCCAGCCTACATGCATTGTCTCATCTCTGGCCCCCTTTCCCCATTCTTTCCTCTCTCCCTGAAGGAGCTCCCTAGTCACTGTTTCCCACTCCGCTCCACAGGTGTGAGCGCACAGCGTCAGCCTGCACTGTGTCCAGCCTCTTCATTTTAACAGCTCCATCATCCCTGGCGCCTTGCTGCGCTAGCTGTTAGGTTGGGGTTACCAACCTGCACACTTTACCCTCACCAAGCTAGCATCCAATTGGCATGGTCCAACCCTGGACTCACCTCCCATCTTCTACCCAGCAGATCCAGTTATCCAGGCTCCTGGGATTCAAACTGTTTCAAGTGCTCCCCAGTTGCATCCCCAGTGCTCCCCAGTTGGCATCACTGACTCCTTCCTGAGCCCCACCGACATCAACGCCCACTGTCCGTCTGTAACCGGCCCAGCCTTCTTGTTCATCACTTTTGCCAACCCACAGGACTTTTGCTTTCCACTATTTCGGGCCTCTGATATGAATCCTCCTACTGTATATTCGGCAGTATGAAGTGGACCAGACAGGTCAACACTTTCGTATGTAGTGCACCAAGACCAGTTCCGCTATCAGTCCTACAGTACAGTCGCTATTCAATATTTCGGCTCTTGTGACAGGTGCAATTTTACTGTTTAAGAAGCAGTCCTTTATCATTGAAAGCATGTCACCCCACAGACCGACGTGAGTTTCGTCAAATCACACTTGACGCCATCGCAACCAGTACAAACACAACGATGGCACATTCGTAACCAATAACCGAGAAATCAAGACAATAACATCCTGCTTGAAAGTTCACAAGTGGCAACATTCCTAAATACTTCTATAGATACAGTATGCCCATCGTCTGTGTTGCTTCAGGCGGTAAACAAAATGTAGTGCACTTGAAAATGTTATTCCTTCGTGCACTCCACTCCTGGGTGCCACTTACATCTTTGAATTCACAGTTCAGAATGTGCTACTACTTGATATGTTATGAACTCTTAGGGGATTATTCTTTATCCTTCTGAGCCTTACCACCTTACAGTTCAGTCACAGCACAGAGTACTTTCCACCTTTTCCCTCTGTCCCTCCTACAACCGAGAGCTTTTGCTCTTTTAGGTCACCTCAATTATGCTACAAGTCACACCCTTCCCTTATCTCCAGGTTTTCAAACTAGAGCATTTATTCTCACTTTTAGCTTCAGGGATCCTGGGCCTTGACTCCAGCTGTGAAAAAAGCTGGAGACAGATTCCATTTAAAATGTACAAATGTAGAATATTACATTGGAGCAGCAAAAACACCAACTACAGATACAAAATGGGAAGCACTGAACATTACGAAGACAAATTCAATCTTATAGACAATGTGGGGAAGTAATAAAATTAAAGCTAAATGTTAGGATATGTTGTTAAAAATGTGGAATTGAACTTAAGTGATGTTATGTTAAATTTCATGCTGTCCAGGGTGCACCCTGCCTTGCACCTGCTGCTTGTCAAGATAGACTCCCCTTCCCCCCCCCCGGCCCTGAATTTGAAAAAGGCATTAGAAAATAGATTGATGGATGGATGTTAAAATCGTACAATGCATCAGTAAGACTTAATTTAGAATATTGTGTCAAGTTGAAATGACCATATTACAAATATATACTGCTGCTGTGGAGATTCAATCCAGAGAAGAGCACCTAGATGCACTTCGGAGTTTAAGAAAATGACCAACACTGACAAGCTGAAGGAAGTGAACCTTTATAGCCTTGAACAGAGAAGACTATTCTCTGAGAATTTATTCAGCTAAAGTATTCAAACCCCTCAAAGGCAGTGACAAAGGCAACCCAGTGGACTTCAGAATAAGTAGCAAAACCAGAAGTCACAAATGGAAACTATGCAGAAGTGCATTTAATGCTTAAGAGTGCTGGAACTATGGAACAAAGTACTAACAACCAAACAGGCTAGATGAGGTGTACTATAGGTTGCCTTTGCTTTAAACCTCTAAAAATGAAGGTTGATTTATGAGCTGTGGCTCTGTACCGAGGAGTCAGGCCTGAAAGATGGATGACAACAAGATCTCTGTTGCTTTTATTACATAGAATTAGCAAATGAGAAAGGTGCCATCTAGTGGCATTTTATTACAGTTCCATTCATATATCTGTGACTCCATGGGTACACCCTCTGTTTCAAAAATGTTGTGCATAATTTTTTTGAATCTGACAGATTACACAATTTTATTAAAACCCTGTAACATGCTGTATACCCAAATCTATTTCCTTCTTCAAAATTGGTCAAATCCCTGAAACTAAAACATTGAATGCCACTTACTAAGATTCGATTGTGTTGTGAATAGCCAAATGTCTTCCTCCTGTTTGCCTTCAGAGATGCCTAAATCATTAGTAAATTAAAGCCAACAATCTGAATACTTACAAGAGCAAGTCGTCTCTCCACTTTCATTGCATTAGGGATGTGGTTGCTGTTCTTAATGGTCTTGTAGGCCACATGGAGCTTCCATGCTATTCCGAAGTAGCAAGCTATGATGGTCACTGCTGGTATTATTGTGCAGAGTGTGAATATGCATATCAAAAATGAAGATCCATTTTCTTTGAACTCAGCCCAGGCAATGGTGCATGATATCCCAAAAGGTTCAGGACCATACTTCCCCCAGCCAAGCAGTGGAAAGACTGCCCACAGCAGGGAATACAGCCAGGTGAAAATAATCAGAACGTGAATTTTCCTTCTGCTTATCTTCTCCCCTAAAGAAATGGAGACATACAGTAGCATACATTTTGTTATCATACATTGCATTTCTCATAAGAATAGCTACTAATGAGAGGAGCCCATTTGGCCCACCTAGTCTTCATTTTCTTTTCCTTTTTGAGAGTTACGTGTCCTATGGGTTAAGAGGTGTTAAGAAACGAATTTTAAAACAGAGCTTCAGGAGAAGGTCAAAGTCCTAATCTTGTGCATTTACATCATTACATCATTACAAGTGAAATTTGTTATTTTATTTTTTAATAATTAAGTTGTATCATGGTCAAAGCATTCAGGGAAAATTTTTTCCACAAACAGCAATTTTATGAAAATTCATTTCACTTTGGTATTCATATTATCCACCATGGGCACTGACTACTCCTACTAAGGACAAACTGTCAACCCCCAATCTTTACATTGTGATGAATAACCCTCACGAAATGTTAGCATCCCAATTAAAAAAAAAACTCTTTATCTGTTCAGCACACTATACAGTACAGTATATCTTTTCAGTATTTGACTTCTGTGCCTTTCAGTACAATCCAGTTCAAGTTTTTTTTCCAATGATGAAAGCTTAGAACTCCCTTTAAATAGCATTAGTCATGCATCTGAAGACTGCCAACTTTTATATTGTCATATACAGTAAAAATGAAAGCTACATGTTAAAAAAAATGATTGAAAGCATTAGATTGCAGGCAAAAAAAATGGATTACAGGCTGCTGAGATGATTTTAGTAGGAATGTCAAGAATCATTATCATAATCACCTCACTTTTATGCCCTTAGCTTCCTAATGTCATGACCTTCCTGGCTGGTGTGCTAGGGATTACTAACATTACCACTGCAGCTGGCCATTACTCTACTCACCGGTCTATCAGCTGCTTGCCGTGGTCCCATAATCAGAAAGGAAATCTGTTCCAGCAGTGTCTGCTACTGCCTTGTTAGGATCAGATTACCTACAGCAGGTCTGCTCTGACAGTGCTCTGGGATCTGTTATCGCTTGCAGCCGCAGCTTAGTTCTCATGTTGCCTGTCTGTTTTTCCCTCTGGTCTCCTGACCCTGCTACATATTGACATCTCTCTCCTTCTGGTCATGCCTTATTTCTGTACCTTGGCTTAAGATTCCCTCTGTGCTTCACTACACTCCCTACTTGTTTTCCACACTTTGCATTGTCCCTATCCACGGCTCTGGATGACCGCTTGCCTGCTACACGCTCGTCTGTGCTTGTTTTCACCACCCCAGCCTGTTCTCTGTAAGACTGCTGCTTAACTCCAGTTTCAGCAGTGGGTATTACAACCAAATGTTGCAGAAGACACAACATCTCATAGCCATGGGATAGTAGGTTTGTGATAAAAAATCTCCTTTCTTCTGTTTTCTTTAGGGTTTTATCGCACATGACAAAAGTAGCAACAAACAAATATTCCAAAATAATCTAGCACTCATTCTCTTGAATTTTATTCAAATTTAATTCATGCAAATTAATCTGTAAATAAGAGAGAAGTCATAAATCCATTATTTTTTAACAATGGTTACATAGCTTCAATAAGACTATGTCTTTGCATTGCTGATATCTTTTGTAACACTTAAAACATTAAATGTGCTCTTCAAAAAATATATTTTATTATTTTGGGGGGGATTTCAAGGATCTCAGGTGATACAGAAATTCATTAAAATATTTTAACATAAAATATAAAATTCATAGCTGCCTGATTATATACAGATGAGACCACACCATTTATAAGTGAAGAGCCAAATCAGATCAAGATTGATGATAACCTTTAACTTGATTTTCAGATCTAGCATGATATACAAAATATTAATATATATTCTAGTGCATATTCTGTATTCTGTGATGTACAGATCACAAATTATCAATGTTAAGCTTTTGCACAATGTGACTATATGTAATAATTCCCTCTCCTGGGGCTTCAAAGTTCCTGGAGACCTCATATGGGGTTGTGTTACATTGGTCGTTCTACCTCCCTTCTACATTGTATGGGTGACAGGGCCTTCTCCTGTTATGCCCCCAAGCCCTGGAACTCTCTCCCCAAGGATATCAGAGAGTCACCTTCCCTAAACTCCTTCAAATCCAGACTCAAAACCCTCTTCGTCAGAAAAGTCTTTACTTAACTGGTTCCATTCTTCACCCCTCTGCTTTTCTTAGTACCACCATCCACGGTCTCCTCTATATATTGTAGTTGTGTTTTATCTTGTGTATTCTTTTTATTTATTGTTGTTGTCATTCTGTAAAGCGCATTGAGAAGCCACCTTTAAAGGTGCTATACAAAATAAAGTTTATTATTATTATATATAAAACAGGTTGAGAAAAACTCAACAGCTGTGTATGAGTCTTAGAGTGATTCCTTTAACTATGATCCCACAAAGCATAATCTGAGAAGGCCTTAATGTACAGTATGAGTAAGTAGTGTTTTAAACAGTACAGGGAGTGTGCTCTCTCACACCACTTGTGCTCTCCTACACATAAGTATCTTCAATCTTCATAAGTATTTATCAATTTCCCTTCAGGATCAATAAAGTCTTATCTATCTTGACTGCCAAGCAGCCCCCCTCTTCTGTGCTTCTTTCTCATCCTGCTCCCTCTATCTTATCTTCACCCTTCCAGCAGCTCCCTGGCTCATGCCCTGGGATGAAAGAGACTTATCCTCACAGGTAGTCAGCCATTCCCTTAGTCAAGCAAGCTGTGCCAAAAAAACATTAATATGGCATTTTCAAACTGCTATCCCCAATTCAGGGTCTCATGGGACCCTGAGCCTATCCCAGCAACCAACAGGCACAGAGCAGGATACACCCTAGATGGGACACCAGTTCATCGCAGACGTTTCAGACTTATATTATTAAATATATTTCACTTCTCTACATTGCATTAATTAGGTTTGAGCTGAAATACTGAAATACAAAACTCAAAACAATACCTAAAATATAATAAGCGAAAAATGTTATGCTATTAGGAAGATAGCAAGAAGACCAATAAACCAAAACCCTCTGTTGTATGTATTTTCTATAAATTCTGTAAGTATAATTACAAAAGTATTTTCATGTTTAAAAAAAAGGTTTACTCACTAGGAGACTGCAGACTGGTTGAAACCACAAATCGAACGACGGCCATTACAGCCAAAGTCATCATGCTCGTGACCCCAAACAGAAATCCCATGAGTCCATAATAAATGCAAGAGGTGTCTCCCCCAAGCCAAGCATGGTTCCAGGCAGAGGCAATAGCCAGAGGGTACATGGTGATGGCCATGCCGAGGTCAGTCACAGCCAGGTTCACACTCAGGAGCTCTGGAGCCTTCAGGTGCGAAGACCTCTTGAAGGCAGTGATAAGGACTGACAGGTTGCCCACAGCAGACAGCACAGCTGAAAAAAGAGATTCAGAATTTACTTTGTAAAGCAAGGAAAGCATTTCCTCATAAATCACTCATGGGCAGAATACAGCATGAATAAAAAAGAAAACCCTAAACATAATGCATTACATATTTTCATGGGCAATCAACAATACCATGGTGATATCCAAACACTACAAGGCAAGAAGGAATACGTCAAATCTCGAAACAAACTCCCTTTCATGATAAGATTTAGGGCAAATAATCCTGTCATATTTGTAATCTTTCTTGGGTTTTCTTAGAAACTTCAATTGTATTTGCTTGAAAGATTGTATTATCCTTCTTAAATTTAATCGTTTTTGTATGTTCTTTTGTATAGGTGTTTTTAAAAAATGTTCTTACAAATTAAATGGATCACTGTTGTTGTTGTACTTGATGTTAATAATTCAGTATTAGCTCAAGTGTCCTTGATAAAGATGTTTAGGGCCACTTTGGACAGTCAACAAATTCACCTCAAGGAATTTATCTTTTTCCTGATTGCTTCCAGCAAATGCCTTGTCCCATTTTGTTCCATTTTATCAAAGGGAGAGCCCCTGAACCAACACCAGTGTATTTTAAATGACAGTAGAAGTTGAGATATAGAACAGTCTGTGTGGCACTGTTCCCACAGAGGGCAAAAGTGAAAATGACATGTAGTTACTGTGTAGTCTATTGAATTAAAAAATGCCTTTCTTTTTTGTATGACGACAAATCCACTTCTTGTTTACTGCCTGAAGTAACAGTTTAATACTAATTTGACAATGGGTGTCCTATGACCTTATGTAAGCATCTGTCAGGAGACTGACTGCTACCCAGCCAGTGGCAGCATGACAGATCATGAAAGATCAAAAGATAGAGATAATGCTTCATGATTGTGTATCAGCTAGCTACTAACAGTAACCAAGCAAATGAAGAAGGGCTGAACAGCCCACTGTTATGTGTAATCCTTCTTAAATACTCAGAAAATAGACATGCAATTGACATTTTTCAGTAAAACAACACAAACCAGTTCTCTTATGAATGACAGAGTTTGGGGCCCTACTTTCTGTAGCTCCCTGTCAACATGGCTCCATGTTCAACACCCGTCTTCATTTAAAAATCAAGTTAAATTTTGTTATAGGGTAGTATGCATTACTATACCCAATTATGCAGATCCCTGAGAAATGGGACTTGCTGGCTGGGACACCTACTATCCAAAAGAGTAAGAAAGCAAGGAAGCAGATTCTTACTTTGTGGGCAACAGGTGCAGGTTTTATTGTGGAATGCTTCAGGCTTTTGGAAAATCAGTCTTTTGACTGTGACAATGACTTGTTATTCGTTTCCTGACATATTTCTAGAACCCTGCCATAGCTCTGCCTGCAAATGTTTTTGCATACTTTTTTGCAGGTATATTTCCATATATCTTTTATTCCTCTTGAAATTGAATTATGAACTCTTGTAATGACTTTTTCTACAGTATGCCATTTTCATATGGCTTATTCTTTTGTACTTATGACTAGGATGATGCTGTAATTTGCTTGATATTTATTAAATTAAATGTAATGATCTTTGCTGTATTGAATTACTAATACTTACCTACTTTTGTCCAATCAAAAGATTCTATGCTTCTTGTAAGGCTGTGTCATTACAGGCATCAGTTCTCTGCCTGAGACAACCTTACCATTGTTGTGTCCTTGTCCAGTGTTTGAAATATACATGGCAAGGCAATGACTCTGGGTCAGTAAAATGTAAAAAAGTAAAATGTTCAGAGAGAAAGCAATAAAATAACCTGGTTGCATTTTTGAAGTCAGGCAAATACAATGTTTGAATAAGATTAAAGAAATGCAATCTTTGTTAAAGATATCAATTTCCATCTTGGCACTAAGACAGCTTTGAGTAATTTCTGTGTATTACTTGTGTTATTGTTCTAAAGGACCTAAATTTCTATATTTGTGTTCCACAGGCTGCTCTGGAGAACCATAATATTTGAAATACATACAGTAATAACAAAAAATACAAGTTTGAACAAATAAACCCACAGTCAAGAAAAACATGTTAAACATTTTCTTAATAATCTACCTCTGTCTCCCCCTTTCACATATTGCTTAAATGAAGAACCATTGCTGAAAAAATGTTGATTTTATGAGTTCAGGTGGAAGCAAAGAAATTCTATTTTTATGGTAGCCCTAAAACATTTATGTTCTGACAGTACACTCTCTTGTATAGTATGCAGTATTTGATGTAAATTGGAACAATTTTCAAATAAATCAGAACCTTCATTTTAACAGAATCAGTTGAATCAAGTGGGGTTGCAAAGAACAATTTTTGCTTCATCTAGTTGATTTTGATTAACTTTTTTCATTGCGGGCAGAAATTCTTATAAGAGGCTAGCTGTCATAACTTGTAAATTATGCAATGTCATTTACTATGAGAGCTGTTGCTTTTCATCAGTGTAAACAAGCTCTTACTGCGGTACCTCATTCACCTTTTGGTTAATTAAATATTTAATTCAGAGGAGAAGGGAGATTTCAAAGCAAACCTCAACAATGGATCTGTTAATATTTTAGCAGCACAAATCCTCCAGAGAACTACAGTACATAGCAGCAGGTCTGTCTAGAATTGTGCAGAGTATTTGGCAAAAGGTTTATAGTAAATTGTAATTTAATCTTTCAAGTATGAAAACATAGACCTTTTCTTACAGGGTAAGTATGTACCACAGGTAAGATAAGCAAATTAACAAGTTAACATCAGAAAATAAATTAGTCTTAATGATCGTCTCCTTTCTGCTTCTATGACATTTTAGCAGCACATAATCATGTTTGTATTACTTTGAGTTGACAAATACAGACTTAACTAGTATTATTTAAAACCAAGATGGGGATGAGGTGACCTTAACAGACATAAATGCTGTACTCCCTTGGGCTGCAAAATACAAACTCAAATCTCATTAGAAATCAAACAGTGATCTTGAATACACTGATGATCAGTGTCATGCCCATCAAACCATTCGACAATAACGCATGCTCTGTGCTGGGAGTGTTGTCATTTTGGAAGACACCCCTCCCACCAGGAAAGAAATGTTGCAGCATGGGGTTAACATGTAATGGTCATTTGGTGGTATGACCAAAATGATATAAATTGTCGGAGGTTACCTGCTCCGCAACATCCTGCCTAAAAGGCTTAACAAACATTCTATGTAGTGTAATGTAGTGCACAGCAAAACCAATATTAAAAATGCTGAAAATATTTCATTATTTCATTGCAAACTCTTTGATGCTAATAATGCATATGTATGCTACCATAGGTGTAGTGGATAAAAAATAGAAACACCAGGAAGAACTGTATATTGAAGTACTGTATATTGAAAGCAAGGTCATCAACACAATTGTGTTAAATAATCAAATAACACACCTGAATGCTTAGGGTCAGGTATAAAAATAATCTTCAGGCTTGTTCACTTATGATAAAGGCTAGCATGGCTGCAAAAGGAGAGCTCAGTGACTTTGAGAGAGGGGATGATTCTTGGGGAGCATTTGGCAGAAGCTTCAGAGACCAAGACACCTCAACTTGTTGATGTGCCAAGAGTAATGGTCTCGAAGGTGATGTCAGCAACAGAAAAGAACAGCAGCAGGTGGAAGCACATCCTCGATGTCAATGGACTACAAATTTCTTATTGGGAAGCAGGCAGCTGCTTTAATTAGAAACGGTAAGTCAAGAGCTTCACAGGGCAGGATTCCAGCAGTGTACAAACTGTTTATCACACCTTGAAATACACATTTGTGAGGCTAGTGGAGCAGAGAGTAGAAGAAATGGTCTACTGATCACTGGAGAAATGTGATATGGTCAGTTGAATAATTATTTACCTGGTTCTCAACAGATCAACCTAAAAAAATCTACAGACCTGAGATCCTACAGTGATGGATTTTAGTGGTTCTACAATGTGACGCTCATGTTCCTGGCAAGGTTTGGGTGTGTTCATTTCATTGGGAGGCAAAATCAGTGGTAATCACTACTTAATGGTAGTGAATGATCATCATATTTATTTTATTCTAACTGCAGTCTAAAGTAGTAGACTGGCTGCTGAACATGAAGACTGCATGAGCACCTTTTATAAATTTTTAAATTGTTCATTTCCCAAGTCCAGGGCTGTGTTGGATATTCTTAAATCTAATTTTTAAAAACTGAAAGCAGCAATATAGTTATATAATTCCTTATATGAAGCAATACAGTGAAATAAATATAAGCCGGTTGAGAGAATGAGATGAGATACCTGTAAATAAATAAACAAAACAAAGGATGATTTTGCACAGGAACGTTTGACAGAACAGACTAAACAAATAATTTATTTAAATGTTTATTCAACAAATGAAAAATACTGTATATGTTAACATATAGTAGGTCTTGTAAACAGGGTTCACATTTGCCTCTTATTCAAAAGCCTGCAAAAAGCTCTCAGAATTTAACTGGGATAAATATCTAAGACAATCCAGCTAATTAGTTGGCTACGTAGATGCTGGTTCTGTTAAACTGTGCCTGAGAGAGAAGAACTTAGGATGTGAGCTAAATTCACTCATGGAAAGGAGGTAATGGTGATTCTGTATCCATAATTGTTTGCTTCTGAAGAGCAGCAGGAAAACAAAGGGAACAGTAACTGTTTTACACATAAAAAAGGCAGGTCACAATCCACAGATAGAGAAAAAATTGTACATATCTAAAAAATATTTTGCCAAAGCAAAAAGAAAAGTTTTCTTTTTTATTATGCAAGCCTAATATTTTCCAAACGCGCATTTAATTGCTGACTTGTTATTAAAGCAAATACTCTTTCAAGAAACAGCTGAATGAGTTTCTTGGATCATTTAACTACTGCAGTATCTACTGTGGCAGGTGGTTCTAATTGTTTTTATAAGCAATGGACCTTCTCAAGTTTGGAATCTCTCTTAAGGTGCTGAGAGAATGACATATTTTTTTCCAAAAAACAAAATATTTTACGCTTCTAGAGTTCATAAATGTATTACT